CCTCAGCCCCTCCATTCCCTCTCTGGACCGGATTTATCTCCAGTCCCCAGCGCAGTTGGGCACCAAGGGGCCCCGCTGTCCCCCCGGGGCTGGCAGGCGGGGCTCTCAGCAGTGCCAGCACCGGGCTCGGTGCCAGGCGCCTGTGCCGAGCTGTCACAGCCCTGCCCGCAGCCTTTGGCTCACGCTGGTGCCTCSTTCTGTAACAGGACCCGCTGGCAAGTTACGACTTCAACAGCAACGACCCCGATCCCCAGCCCCGATACGGCGACGGGGACAAGAACTGGTGGGTTTTGCCCAGCTCCCTGCGCTGGGGGGACTGGAGATAAATCCAGTCTCTTGGGGGGCTGAGGCTGTCCCASCCCCCCTGTGCCCCTCACAGGGTCACTCTGTCCCCCCAGGCACGGGACACGCTGTGCAGGGGAAGTGGCAGCTGTGGCCAACAACAATATCTGCGGTGCAGGCGTCGCCTACAACGCCAAAATCGGAGGTGAGATGTTGCTCCCGCAGGAGGGAAGTTGGAAATCAGCTCCAGCACCTTGGGGGAATGCAGGACCCCAGGTGGGGCTGCTCTGAATGTTTACAAGGTGTCCAAAGTACTGCAGTGTTACCCCAAACACTTCCCGGGGTGTTAATGCTCACCCCAACACCCAGCAGGGCAGGCTCAGGCTCTGCTGCGGGAGCGAGGGTGGCAAAGGGGGTTAAAAGCTGGGAGCACTCCCTGGGCTTAATTACAGCAGGCTTAACGAGGAGCTTTGTGAACCAGCAGCACAGACCCTGTGCGGGGCCCTGATCTCCTTAGGGCAGGGTCATGTGAAAGGTGTGGGGGGCCAGGGGGGGCCTGGCAAGGTGCCCTCGGTGTGGCACACACGCGTGGCTCCCGTCCCCTCGGTGCCACCCCTCGGCCACGGCTGCTCCCGGTGCCGGCCCTCAGGCGTGCGGATGCTGGACGGTTCCATCATGGACATCGTGGAGGCTCAGGCCCTGAGCTTGCAGCCCCAGCACATCCACATCTACAGCGCCAGCTGGGGCCCCGAGGACGACGGCAAGACGGTGGACGGGCCGGGAGTTCTGGCTGCGGCCGCTTTCCACAGAGGGGTCGTCCAAGTAAGCCCAGCCCTGGCCTTGGGGACAGCAGGGACACAAAAAYACCCTGCTCACCTCCCTCTGCTGTTCAACAGGGCCGGGGAGGGCTCGGCTCCATCTTCATCTGGGCCTCAGGCAACGGTGGCACCAATTATGACAACTGCAACTGCGATGGGTACACCAACAGCATCTACACGGTGTCGGTGGGCAGTGTCCTGGGGGACGGGCACCGGCCCCGCTACAGCGAGAGCTGCCCTGCCATCCTCACCACCACCTACAGCAGCAGGACCACCAGCAAGGTGCAGATTGTGAGTGTCACCACAATCTGGGGCAGACACAAATCCCAGCATGGGGTGGGCTCAGCCCAGCCCTCCTTAGCTCGGGTAATAAAATGTCTGTGGAGAGCCCCAAAAGCCTGAAGGGACCTGAAAGGAGCATTTACTGATGGTACCCAGCTCCAAGCAGCTCTGATGGCAGTGGTGCTGAGATCCTCCTGTCCCCCCAGGTGACCACTGACCTGCACCACCGCTGCACGGACAAACACACCGGCACCTCGGCCTCGGCCCCGCTGGCCGCAGGGATGGTGGCCCTGGCGCTGGAGGCCAAGTAGGTGACACTGTGACAGCAGGACAGTCCCCAGGGAGAGGTGGGGACTCACTGGAGGGGACAGCAGAGAGGTTGGGGGGGCAGTTGTGGTGTCCCCAGGTTCTGGTGGGGCAGAGTCTTCCTCAGGGCCAGGGAGGAAGGTTCAGGTTTGGGTTCAGGTTCGGGTTAGGGTTACGGTTATGGTTCGGGTTAGGGTTAAGGTTAGGGTTAGGGTTAGGGTTAGGGTTAGGGTTAGGGTTAAGGTTAGGGTTAGACTCGTCCCAGTCCTTCTCCTAGTTTGTAGCTTTGTCCTGGAGGATTTTTTGCTCCCATTTTGGCACTGAAGGAGGTTGTGGAGGAACCAGGGCCCAGACAGTTGCTTTACCCACCCCAGAAGAGCCAAATCTCACCCTTAAAAACCAACCCAGACCTGTCCCCACCTCCTCCTTGCTTCCAGCCCAACCCTGACCTGGCGGGACCTGCAGCACCTCATCATCAGAGCCTCCAAACCCGCTCACCTGCGGGCAGAGGACTGGGCCAAGAACGGGGTGGGACGCAGCGGTGAGTGCAGGGCTTAACCCCTCCAACACCTCCAGCTGTCCCTGGTGTCCTGGTGGCACTGAGGGGCTCACAGATCCCTCCCTTGGGTGCCACCTTTGTCCCCAGTGAGCCACTACTACGGCTACGGGCTGCTGGACGCGGGGCTGCTGGTGCAGGCGGCCACCACGTGGGCAGGGACTCGGCCTCAGGAGAAGTGTTCGGTCGAGGCTGTCCAGGTGCCCAGGTAAGGGGACACCACCCCCAGGTCCTGCCTTCCTTGGGGACTTTCTGTGCCCGMYACGGGMACRGGGATGGATTCCCAAAAGAGTTCCRTGCTGCATGGTGTCTGCCCTGCTTGGAGGCCTCACAGGAGGGCACAGTGCCCTCACTGTCACCTTGTCCTCCACAGGGACATCAGTTCCGGGCTCACCATCTCCATCGACGTCTCCTCCTGCTCCCAGATCATCCGCTCGCTGGAGCACGTCCAGGTGCAGCTGTCCCTGAGCTACAGCCGCAGGGGGGACCTGGTGGTGGCTCTGAGCAGCCCCATGGGGACCAAGTCCACGCTGGTGACCGTGCGGTAAGGGCGGGGAGCACCGGGGCACCCACGGCCCCTCCAGGGCCAGGAGATCCCAAAAAGGGGCTCCCTGTGCCCCAAATTCCTCTGGACCTCACCATGTGCGAGTGTCCCCTCAAAGGACAAGCAGGGTGACTCCAGGGTCACACTCCCAGCTGTGYTGTCCCCCTGCAGCCCCTATGACACCAGCCAGGAGGGCTACAAGGACTGGACCTTCATGTCCACGCATTTCTGGGAYGAGAATCCCAAAGGGATCTGGACACTACAGCTGGAGAACAGGGGCGATGCCCATAACACAGGTGGGTGCCCCGTGGGGGGTGAACCCCATTTTTGCTGGGGTCATTCCTCTTCTTTCCCCCACTCGGATGAGCAATTGTTGGCTCCTCCCTCCTGGCCACGAGCCCTCCTTTCCGACACGGCCCCGTGTTGGCTTTAAGGGTCTTCCTCTCACAGGGCACAACCCCAAAGCCTCCAGCCCCATTTCCCTCACCTGGCAGACCCCTGTCCCTCCTGTCCCCCAGGCCAGCTGACCAGCTTCATCCTGCACCTGCACGGCACCGACGAGGACATGCCAGCCCGGCGCTCCGCAGCCACTGTCACCGACGAGTGTCTGAGGAGGGACGAGAACGGAGCCTGCGAGGGTGAGCGAGGCTTTGGGGGGACGGTGACAACGCTCTGGTCRCCAGGGTCTCACCCCAGCCCCTCTGTCCCCAGAGTGTGGCAGCTCCCTGTACACCCACCACGGCTCCTGCCTGTCCTACTGTCCCCCTCGGTACTACGGCAAGGCCAGGAGTGCCACCCCCAGGGACACCGCCCGTGTCTGTGCCAGCTGCCACCCCTCCTGCTACACCTGCCGGGGCGCCTCCGCCCACAACTGCACGTCCTGTCCCTCCGGCCGCACCTTCCACGACATCACCCACACCTGCCACCACCCCGCCCATGTCCCCGCCAGCCGCGGGGGACTCCGCAGGGACCTGGTGATTGTCACCGCGCTGGCCTGCAGCACCCTGGTCATGGCAGGGGTGCTGTACCCCACGTACCGCATGGTGCTGCGCTCTGGCAAAGGAGCTTCCTGCTGTCCCCAGGCCAGGAGGGCAGAGTGACACCAGYCCGGGCTGCAGGGACTCAGCCTGGGAAAGAGCTGGGATCGTGCTTGGCTTCCAAAATAAACCGGTTGTTGCCTTTCTCCGAGGGTGATTGCCCTTCCCAGCAGCGCCTGGGATGATCCCACCCCCGTGTCCAGCTGTGCGAGGGACAGCGTGGTGGCTCCTCCCACACCCCTGGGGACAGAGACATTCCCGGAGGGGCCGRGAGCGCTGTGCCCTTTCCCAGGCGCGGAGGGGCGACATGTGACATGTCCCCAAACAGCTGCRTGGCCACCGCAGGAGCTCGGCCACCAGCCCGTGTGGCTTCCGGCAGAGCGGGGGCAGCAGAGGCCAGCCCGGATCCTCTCCAAAGTCCCCAGTTCCTGTTCACCAGCAGCTTTAGGATTTCCAAAAGTGGTCCCAGGRTGGCTGCACCCTCTGGCCACTGTGTCCCACGGGGACTGGCAGGGGCACGGTGGCAGCTGTGGCCCGGCACGTGGCACCCGTGGCACCCTTGGCACCGGGCAGGGATGGGACRGAGCGCTGCCAACTGGGGCCTTCCCGGGGGCACCGGCCCCGTGCCAGGACCCTGCACTGCCCCYAGGGACAGAGGGGACACGGTTTGTGTCCYCYTGTCCCTGWCTGTGCCSTCCCCAGCGCTGTKTGCTCAGCTGAAGGGTTTTGGGAATGAAGGCGGAGAGCCCGAGCTTTCTCTGGGATATAACGAGCCGTGAAAACCCCAGAAYGGACCCTACAGAGCACGGAGGAGAGAGCCGGGATGGAGCTCTGTCTCCAAAGGCAGCTGAGAGCGGGGGGGGGTTCCTTTGGGGGATCTTTGGGGGTCCCTGCAAACACCAAGGGAGCGCCCGGAATCACCCCGACTTTACTGGGACCAGCTGGGGCTCCGTTCTGGGCCCCCCAGCTCATCTCTGGCCCCTGGCKATGTCACCCGATGTGACAAGGACCCTCCCGGGCTGGCAGCTGCCACTCGGGGCACCCCAARCCACCSAYCCTTGGGTGTCCATCGGRRYCCCACTTTGGGGACAGTCCCCAGCCCCACGAGCTGGGAGCTCTCAGCCTTTCCCTGGCACCAGCTCCAAACCCACCCCAAGGGGACCCCCGAGCGGGCCAAGCCCCCGGGATGCCCCAGCGCCCCCGGTCACATCCTGTCCCCTCAGGGGCCCCGCGGTGGCCCCCAGCAGCCCTCGGCTTGGGTTACGGGCGGGGGGGCTCTGGCACGGGCGGGGGACACGCTCGGCTCCGCCGGAAGGGAGATAAGCGAGAGGTCCCCGACCCCGGCAGGCARAGCCTGGCACGCTGCCATCGGGGACAGCGACACTCGGCGGGCTCGGAGCTGCTCCTGGGGCTCGGTGCGGGGACACCGAGGGGACCCCCCTGAAGGAGAGGGACACGGAGGAGACCCTCTGCCCATGGGGACACCGAGGGGACCCCCTGAAGGGGAGGGACACCGAGGGGACCCCCTGAAGGAGAGGGACACGGAGGGGACCCCCTGAAGGAGAGGGACACGGAGGAGACCCTCTGCCCATGGGGACACCGAGGGGACCCCCTGAAGTGGAGGGACACGGAGGGGACCCCCTAAAGGGGAGGGACACCGAGGGGACCCCCTGCCCATGGGGACCCCTGAATTGAGAAAACACGGGATCCCCCAGGCTGACTGAGAGAAGGGAAACGCGGCAAGCGAGGGGGATAAACATATTTATTTCCTGCAAAAATAATAAATTACCACCCCCGCCGCCACGCGGACCCCAAGGACGGCGAGATGGGTGGGGGTCCATAGTGATGGGGGGTGCCACGGGAAGGGTTCGGTGCCCGGCGGTGCCCCCGGGTGGCACCGGGGAGCGGCTCAGGGTGGCCGCGGGTGGGGACAATGCCGGGCCGCCTCCCGCACCAGGCGGGCTTCGCGGGGCGTCCAGGGCCGGGCGTAGCCGTCGTCCTGCAGCAGGATGCGGTTCAGGGTGTGCTCGTGGTTGACGTGGCGCCGCGCCATCAGCAGGTACTCGCTGCCGGGGCGTAGATCGGGGCAGCCGCAGGTGTTGGGCACCCACAGGTATTCCCGGGACACCAGCGGGAAGCGGTGCCGGTACGGAGCCTTCACCTCCACCTCGTAGCGCGTCTCCTGCCCCACCAAGCGCCGCGCCAGGATCCGCCCGTGGAACACTGCGGGGGGAGGAGGGGGTACTCTGAGTCTCTTCTCGTCCCTGGCATCGCCCGTGGCATCGCCCCGAGTCCCGTCCCATCCTCAGCATCGCCCTGAGCCCCTTTCCATCCCTGACATCGCCCCTTCATCAGCCCCTTCCCATCCCTGGCATCGCCCGTGGCATCGCCCCGAGTTCCGTCCTATCGCCAGCATCGCCCTGACCCTCTTTCCATCACCAACATCAGCCTCTTCACCATCCCCTTCCCTTCCCTGGCATTGTTCCTGGCATCATCCTGAGCCTCTTTTCATCCCTGACATCGCCCCTTTATCAACCCCTTCCCATCCCTGGCATCGCCCATGGCATCACTCTGGGCACATTTCCATCTCTGACATCCCCCTGAGCCCCTTCCCATCACCGGCATCAGCCCCTTCATCCACCCTTCCCCTCCCTGACATCACCCCTGGCACCACTCAGGGCACATTTCCATCCCTGGCATCCCCCTGAGCCCCTTCTCGTCACTGACATCAACCCCTTCCCCTCCCTGACATCGCCCCTGGCACCACTCAGGGCACATTTCCATCCCTGGCATTTCCTGAGCCCCTTCCCATCACCGGCATCAGCCCCTTCATCAACCTCTTCCCATCTCTGGCATCGTCCCTGGCATCGCCCCAAGCCTCTTCCCATTCCTGTCATCACCCTGGCATCTTTCTGAGCCCCTTCCTATCGCCCCAGGGATCACCCTGAGCTCTTTCCCGCTCCTGTCACTGTCCCTGGCAATGTCCCGATCCCTGTCCCACCCCCGCCCGAGCCCCCAGCCCCTCCCGGCTCACCGAAGTCACTCTGGCAGAAGTGCCGGATGCGCTGGGAGCGTCCCTTGGGTGGGCGGCACCGCCCGCAGCGCCCTAAGGGGGTAAAGCTGCAGCAATTTAGGGGGCAGAGGGTAATCCCGACACTCAGAACCCCCTCATGCAACTTTGGGAGGGGGAATTGCGGGTCCAGACCCCAGAGAGGGTCACACGGGGCTCCYGAGGGTCTCAAGGAGGGTTTGTAGGGTCCATTTTAGGGTCCGCATGTTATTCCTCCCCCGGGCAGMCCCAGTAGGGGGGTGGGGGGCTGCGGGACC